GTCCCCCTTGTCCACATGTTTGTTCACTCCCTCAAAGAACACTAACAGGTTAGTGAGACAAGATCTTCCCTTACAGAACCCATGCTGAGTCTGCCTCAATGTCAGGACCCACAGTCAAACAACAGAGCACATGCTTCTTTGAAGGTTTTACTTTATTGTTAGCAGTATGGTAGCATAGACACAAGCACCGTTAGGAATTACTACATCATAGAAAGCTGAGAGATATATAGGGTATTCGAAAGCACCCCCCACCACCACCTATGGGCCAATCGGCCTGACTCCCGCGGACAGGAAAGAGGACCAAGGCAGTTAGAGCCGAGGCTGGGACACTACACAGACTGGTTACAAGGTCAGTGATAACGAGGGGGAGAAGCAAAGAGAAAGGAATGCGGCAGCAACTGGCACACAGGTCATGAAACCGAACCCGGGCCCATAAAACATATGGCAGCATAGCTGACATTCTGCCCACCCAAAGAACAATCTCCCGGCCTACCCAGGAGACCTCCCGGTCAGCCTGGGATATCTTCCAGTTTCTCCAGGAACTCCCGGTGAAACTCTTGCAAGAGCCTAGGGGTCCGAATATCCCCTACTTCCACCCATTCACGGTGCTGGGGCCCAAAATCCAACCATTCCACCAAAAAAACCAGTTTGTCATGTTTCACTTTAGAGTCCAGGATCTTTGAGATCTCAAAATGTTCTTCGCCCTCCACCATGATAGGAGGGGGTACAGGTTTTGTTGGCCGCCAGGGGCTTGGGCCTGGATCACGCTTCAGGAGGCTGAAATGAAACACAGAATGGATATTGTGCATGTTTTTAGGTAGGTCCAGCAACACAGCCACGTCATTGATCAGGCGTCTGACTTTAAATGGGCCAATGAATTTCCATCCCCGTTTGCGGCTGGGTCTCAACACCTTAATGTTTTTTGTCGACACATACACCGAGTCCCCAGGCTCCAGAGCCCATCCCTCCACCCTTTTCCTGTCAGCCTGAGCCTTGTAAGCCTCTTTGGCCATTTCCAAAGTTTTGCACAATAACAGCCAAGAGTCCTGAAGTTGTTGACACCACTGCGCAGCATCCCCTAGGCCCAAGGTAACTCCCTCGAGAAAGGGCAATGGGGGACTGTCATATCCATAGAGCGCCTTGAATGGGGACATTCCCATAGATGAGTGACACGTGCTGTTATAATAAAATTCAGCCAGGGGAAGTAAGTCTACCCAATCATCCTGCTGCTAGTTAGTGAAACAACGTAAATATTGTTCCAAAGTCTGATTCACTCGTTCGGCCTGTCCATCAGTGTCCGGATGATAAGCGCTACTCAGGGCCCGTTCAATCTCCATAAGTTTTAATAATTCACCCCAAAACCTGGAAACAAATTGCGTCCCCCTGTCGGAGATAATCTTGCTCGGAAGAGTGTGGAGGCGCACCACGTATCGCATAAAGGCTTTTGCCAGAGCGTTGGCTGTGGGCAAGGACGCAAACAGGACAAAATGGGCTTGTTTGGAAAACAAGTCAACCACCACCCAAATGACTGTCATGGTTTTACTAAATCCGTAATAAAGTCCATAGAGATCACCTCCCATGGCCGACTCGGGGTCAGGAGAGGTTTCAGCAATCCCGGGGTCTTGCCGGGGTGGGGTTTACACATGACACAAGTTTGGCAAGACTGAACAAACAAAGATAAATCCTTGCGCATAAGAGGCCACCAAAATTCTCGGTCTCGTTAAACTTATGGGAGACATAAGCCAGGAGGTGTAACAACCCATCGCCCCCCTCCTGCAGGATTGCCTCCCGCATCACCACGTCTGATGTGTCAACTTGGACAATGAATTTTTTATTTTCATCAGGGTGGGCAAGCACCGGTTCTGACGTGAACAGCGCTTTAAGTTGGTCAAATGCCTCCTGGCATTCCTCCGTCCACTGAAGCTTAGCACCTGGCTTGGTGGCTTCTGGACCTTTCCCTTTTGTTTTTAATAAGTCAGTGAGGAGTAAGCTGATCTGGGCAAAGTTGGGGAGAACAGACAGTCCACTTAGTTTTGTCCTTCCAGCCTAGAACAATCACTGCTTTGCTTGCTAGTATCATGGCTTTAAATATAGCTTGTTCCCCTTGCTTACTGCTGGGTTCCCTCTTGTGCCCAATAGCATTAAATTGAAGTTTATAGTTTATAGTCAGTGAAACTTTACAGATTCTCCTTATAATTTGTAATATTTCTGTCCAAAAAGCACTAACCTCTGGGCATTCCCACCACATATGGGAAAACCATCCCTTAGATTGTTTACAATGCCAGCATCTGGAGCTCATTCCTGGGAACATATTTGCTAATTGCGCTGGTGTTTTATACCATTTTGTAAAGAACTTATGCTCCATGTCATTAAATTTAACCACTTTAATTTCCTCTATTCCCTCCATTATTTTGCTTGCCATATTTTCTGATATCTGTCCTTCTTTGGTCCAAGTTTTTTGTAGGTAAGATATTGTCTTATCTTTATTTGATATAATTTTCCTATAGATTTTCCCTGCTAGTCCTTGTTTAGATTTTGGTATTGCTTTATATATTTCTTCTATTGGTTCCTCTATCCAAATTTTCTCCTTTTCATTGATTTTTTTAACCATACTATAAAGACCTGTTATTTTTAGCCAGTGTTGGTTGCCTACCTCGTCTACTATTTCCTGTACCGGTTTTAGGTTACCTCCTCTAAACATATCTCCCAACCTATAATAGCCTTTGGATCTTAACAAATGCCTCCATTTGTTTTCTCTTATTTCGCTGTATATGGACTCTAGTGGTGCCCATCTTGAGTTTCTCCTTAACCATAACGCCTGCCATTTACTCCAAGATTCTAGCGCTGTGTGTCTGGGGCCTTTAATTGATTGGAGGTCTTTTTTTGTAACTTTGGAGAATATTCCAAAGCATCCTGTGTTATTATTGATCTCATTCTCAAATCTGACCCATTTCTGCACGCTACTTTCACCTATCTCTAATAATGACGTTATTTGGAAAGCTTCATAATAGCTATTCAACTCAGGGATCCCCCAACCCAACTCCACTTTGTGACCACGTACCAACCTTTTTTGGGTTCTGCGTTTTTTGCTTCCAAATATCCACTTTCTAATTGCTCTATTCCATTGTTCTAGCCTTTTACTATGTGTTCCTAATGGTATCGCCTGAAATAGATATATTAATTTGGGCACCCAGAACATTTTAACGCTCCTTATTCTAGTAGATATGCCTAAAGTTTTA